TAAATGTTAAACTAATTTATTCAACTCAGAGAATGTTGCATAGCCTATAATTAAATTTTTGCTTGATGCATAAAGTTAAAAGATTAAAACTGATAAAACAAGTTAAAAAAAAGAGATTTTTCCATTTGATTACATTTTGTATGATGGATTATGTAGAAAAAGTAGAATTGGGCTGACAGATCTATCACTTTATCACCTCTTCAGGTTGTAAATCGTGTTTTTAAAAAGTAACTAAGTAACTAAGTAATTAATTACTTTTGAAAATAAGTAATCAGTAAAGTAACGGGATTACTTTTTTGGGGAAGTAATCAGTAATTAGTTACTGATTACTTTTTTCAAGTAACTTGACCAACACTGCCTAACATTCACACACATACTCACACTCCCTAAAGATATGTCACAGGCAACTCGGGGTGGACGCATGGACAGGAAGAGCCAGTACGGTGACCCAGAGAGGTCAAACACACTACACACTGTCTTCCTCCTCTCACCCCAACCTGAACCCAGCAGATGACTGCCCCTCCCTGAGCCTGGTTCTGCTAGAGGTTTCTTCCTGTTAAAAGGGTGTTACCTTACAAAATAAAGCGCCTTGAGGCGATTATATAAATAAAATCATAATGAACATCAAGAAAGCACATGCAAATAGAAAATACTGCAAAAGCACATGAAAAACAATGGAAGTGTTTCGCAGTGACAAAAACGTGATGGAACAGCTTCAGAAGTGACAGATACCAAAACATGCAAAGGACTGAGACATGCTGAAAAGAAGTGTGGGATCATTGGTGTTGTGAGGGAGAAAAATATGCAGGCAATGTGCGTTCTGATCACATGACTATAGATAATTAGCTACTATTAGTTGTTTACTGCAGCTGTTTCATCAAATGATTTTCTCCCCTAACCACTTCCATTGTTTAAGTTACAGTGTGTTTGATACGGTAAGCCAGGAGATCAAACCACTGACATCCCAAAGACAACCTGCTCCACCACCTGAGCCACAGTTACCCCAAACCCATCAGCTTAAATTTATAGCAAACAACCTTCTTTTGTTTTTTTTTTTTGCTTAGTGTTTAAACTGGCTTACACATACCTAGTGTTCATGGTCACGTATTATGGGTTTAAATGCATGTTAGAATAGATTTGAGACTTCTACCCACCCCACCCCTACATTTTCTGTTGCTTTGAATACTTGATCCCAGGCATTTCAACTCATTCGTCTTTACTGCTTTTGCTTCTTACATTGCCATTTTCATCTCTTATTCACACACGTATTCCGGCTTGTTTGTACTGACGTTTGTTCCTCTTCTCTCCAGTGCATACCTCCACCTTCATCTCTCCAGGCTCTCTTTGAACTGCTCCTCACCCTCACTATAGATCACAGTATCGTCTGCAAACATCATATTCCTCCCTGACCTCATCTGTCAACCCGTCAAACACCACTGCAAACAAGGCTCAGAGCTGATCACTGATGTAACACCACTGCCACACTGAAAAGCTCACACCTCACCCCTTTCTCGATGTCCTCGTACATGTTGAAACTTGGATAATCATGATTATTAAACTGACATGCTACCATTTTATTAGAAATAGAACACTAAACACAACGCAGTCAAGCAGATTAAAAATACACACAATACAATTAATACAATTAACAATAGGATATATAATCTTCAGTATCAGTTTATTGTGACATAGCAAGTGTTTACAAAAGAGTGACATAATGCCAGAGTAACAGCACTTTGAAATAATGGGCTGGTATAGTTTTATAATTTGACAATGTTTAAACAAACAGTATTGAATTCTTCATCTGGCAACCCCGTCTATACAAGGTACCGCATGATACATGGCATTTTCAATTGATAACTTGCAAAAGTGGCAATATACAAACTCATCACATTAAAAGTTAGAAAAAATGTCATTATTACTGTTCTAGAAATCCTGTTTATATATACACACACCTTTACACACATGGATATCGTTCTGTTACATGCACAAACGAGGCCCGTTGTTACAAATTATTCTGGCACACAAACAAAAATCAAAACAATTATCGTTTAAAAGATATTGTGTAATCACATCACAAAGTTGAGCTCACCATATCAAATCAACAGAAAAGAAAGTTATTACTAGATTTTTTTTTTAATATAAGCACCACTGAAAGTTTGAATTACAAAGGGGTTGACTTTCTTGCATTTCCTCTCTGTCGCATCATAATGGCACTGGTATCTAAAAGTTGTCACTGCTACCAATCCCTGAACACACTGTCAGAGCCCTGGCACTGACCATGCATTTATTACTAAATACAGATTTTTAGCCCATTTATGGTTTTCTCGATCATCAGACTTTATCATCATCATCCCCTGGAGTGCAGTACAAGAACATTATTTATGACTTTACGAATTCTACAGATTGCTTTAAATCAAAGTCCGCACTCTGTTGTGCAAATGTGTAGATGAAGAGCGGGAAGCATTTGAAAGCTCTGAACAAAGCTTTCAAATGCTTCCCAAATGCTAATAAGTGGACCAAACGACTTGTTGATGAGTATAAAGATCACAACCGTGGGCTGAAGGACATTTTTTAAATTTCCCTTTCTAGCTTTTGAAGTTTTCATGTCAGCATCTTTCCTACTAAAAATGCCTCAAACTTTTCATTAGAGAGGATTGCAGTAATGTTCTGGTTGAAATGAATGAAAGATTGAATTGACATAAGAAAAAATAAAAACTGTGCTTTAATTTCTTAACTTAGACCTGCTGGAGGTTCTGCTCATTTAGAATGATTTTCATAACAAATTTATGTCACAACAATATAATATAACATTTGTTTGAACAGAAACAGCTGATATACATATCGTATCACTGCTAAAACTCCCCACTATGTTCTGTTAAAACAAATATTGCTTTCTTATGAAATACATTTTATTTTGAAAGTCACCCTAAACAATGGGAAAGATATTCTCAAATTCCATGAGCATAGACAAAAGATATGTTTAGGAAACCTAATAAAGTTTTCCAATGACAAAATTGTGAAGCTGATATATCTTGTGGACCCCAAATGCTTCTCAACAGACTTGTTTTTGTCTACAAACACTACTGATCCTAAAGAACACTCCAAAATATAACATCTCCATTGAAGGCCTTTTCTCATACACTAGCTGCCATGACGGTGGTAGGCCCGGTGGATAACATGATTACACACATACATTTCTTTCAATTATACACTGATATATGTTACAAATATGCAAAGTTGATTTTCATACAAGCCATAAGAACATTTTTTTCCATATCAAACAAACAGAAATACATGAGTTCTACACATGCTGTAGAGTCTATGTACAGTAATATAAAAAAATAAACACACAAATACATACACATATCTGTTCAAAAACCACACACAGTCCCACAAAGTGATCTCCTCTCAATGGAGTGTACATCTTCACGGGTTATTAGAGTTAAACTCATGTTACTGTAGCCTTTATCTTCTGTAGAGTTCACCAAGGATCCAATCTGCTACATATCCAGAAATGACCCGCAATCTTGTGGTGTCACAATTCAGATTTTACCATCATTTAACAGACACTGCAAAATGGAAATAAGATTAAAGAACAAAACAAAACAAAAGTTTTGTCGCTTGTGTTACTTGGGTTTGCTTCCTTCTTCTTTTAATCCTCTAAAATTTTGTTGTGAGAGCATTTTACGCACCAAATTAAGAGCGTGCATTGGCAAATGCAACACTTTAATAATTTAAACCATGAATATACCTAATGTCTAAAATTGAAATTTTTCCTTAAGCTAATGAGTAAAATGTTCCCAGAATTACTAGGAATCTTTACTAAAACTATAAAAACCTAGTCTAGATTGTAACAAAAATAATCTGCCTTTAAAACAGTGCTAATGATCTTTCGGGAGTAGCGACAATCGTCATGAGAAAAAAAAAGCAGTGAATAGAAAATTGTAATATTACCATTTCATTATATAACACATACGACTGCGGCAATCAACTTTCTGCTTGCACCTACGTAGCTCCGCTTTCTTCCTTTTTGGCAGTTGGTAGCATCATTACAAATATTTAGAAGACAAAAAAGGATTGTTTGTGCCTAATTAGCTGTAGAGTCCCCTTTACAACGTGGTTCACATAAACGAGTGGATCAAGTAGAAATTCATGTTTCATTCAAAGCCTTTAACTGCAACTGACTGGGTTTGCCTGGTACAGCAACATATTGGCTATTTTCCAGAAAGTAAAAAAAAAAAAGTACAGCTGGAAAAATATCAATT